AATAGGTAAGTGGTGTCTACGTCGACCTGACTGAAAGGTAAGTCGTGTGCCTTCCACGCTCACCGCACCATGCGGAGATAACTGCAGCAACGGGAGCTAGGCTACGGGCTAGGCACGTGTGCTCGTGTGATCTCTGCGTTCTCTGTTCCTTAGTCGTTTTCCTTGTGTACACACTACTTGCTAGTTCACGGGGAAAATTGGCAAGAGTTTCACTAGGAAAAGTTCAGAACAATTGGTACAATGAAGTTGGCATAGCATGACTACATCAGAGCAAGCATTCAGGTCGGCCAACTGCCAGCGCAGCTTGGTCGACCGCGTTCCAGCACGACTTGGTCGACCGCACTCCAGCAAGGCAAGGTCGACGGCGTGCCAACGTCGCAGGTTGACGGCGTGCCAGCGTTGTTCACGCAGGATAGCAGTGCACCCGCCTCGCAGGTGTGCGTAGCTGATTGGCGTGCAGAGTCCCGTCACCTGCACAGCGCACACTCCACGTCAACCTCGAGCTGACGACTGCCTCTGGTCCGCCACGACGACCTCGGGATACCACCACCGAGGTCGTGCTTGCCACCTTTGCCTGGGCGACCGTCGCACTTCTCCGCAGCACTTCGTCACCCAGGTAACCTGGTCGACCAGGCAACCACGTCGACCAGCAGCTCTTGCACGTGCCCGTCGACCTCCCAAGTCAACGACCACCCCAAGTCGACCTCCTCAGGTCGACCACTACTCCCTGGTCGACCAGCTCCAAGTCGACGTCACTCCTGGTCGACCAGAAGGGCTGGTCGACTTCCCAGGTCGACCAGGATGGTCTGGTCGACGTCCCAGGTCGACCAGAAGGTCTGGTCGGCGTCCCGGGTCGACCAGACGAAGTTGGCGCCCTCCTGAAGTCGGCGCCCATGCAGTGGCTCCCCGTGCAGGTCGACTAACCTCGTCGACCAACTCGCCCACTGCTGCAGGTCGGCTGCACCCTACACCCGACCACGAAGTCGGCTCCGCCCAGGCGTGGACGGGGCCAACATACAACTCCCGTTGACAGCCAAGAGGTCGGAGGAGAACTCACCACCTCTGTCAGAGTGCAAGCGCAGGACAGGAAATTCCGAGTGAAAACGGTCGCTGAGCTGGAGACGGGCTCCGCGGATCCAAGGGATCAAGACATCAGGGACCTCACCCTTGGTGCGCAAGGGGAAGACCGAGGTGTAGCGCGAGTAGTCGTCAACAAATATCTGGAAGTACCTCTCCTGACCCTGACCACGGACGCGGGCTGGGCCCCACACGTCCATGTGGAGCGTCTGCAAGGGAGCAGTCGTCAGGGGAAACGAGGAGGAGTGAGGATCGGCGCGCTGCCGTCCCTCTACACAGGGGAGACAGGTAGGAGCAGGTGAGGGTGGGAGGGGAGGAAGGACCCTGGGCAGACCAGAGACAAGGTACCGGGAGTGCATGGCACAAAGCCGCTGCACAGACGGGTGGCCAAGGCGGTGGTGCCAGAGGACAGTCTCGTGTGCCAGAGAGCGACACGAGCAGGGGGTCGACAGCTGACCTGACGCGGACGCAGACGCAGCAACCTGAGGGGACTCAGTAGTCAGTGTGTACAGGTCCGACCCCGCCTGCCGAATGAAGGTAGCCAAGTGACGGCCCGTACGAGCACACGTACAGTGTGTCACGCGCTCGTAGGCAGGGGTGAACTGGTGAACACCCCCGTCCTGGAGTGCACATCCTGCCACCAAGTTCGTAGAGAACAAGGGGAGGTGAAGACCTGACAGTGTGCCCGACGGGACCGCAGGACAGGGAAGGACAGTGGAAGAGGTCGCAATGACCGGACCCCCAGAGGGGTCAGCAAGGGAGACAGCAACTGGCCGAGCAAGCGGCTCAAGGGCAGTGCGGTCACGAAAGAAGCAGCGAGAAGCACCTGAGTCCAGTGTGAAGGTGTGCAGTGCGGCAGTCGACGCAGTACCCAGGGGGGGAGACACACGAGCACCTAGAGCAGCAGCCTCACCAGCACCTGGGGTAGCCGACACGCGAGTACCTGGAGCGGCAGACGCACTAGCCCTAATGCCCGGGTCGGGCGGCACACACAAGTACCCAGCACCCTCTCCACTAGTAGACATCACATACATGGCAGATAGAATAGCATCAAAGTCTAGAGCATAGATATCAATCCCCTTCTTCAGGAGATCAAGCTAGCGGGGCAGCTCAGTGGCCTGAGGGAACTGAACACGCCAAGCGTCGTCGAGACGAGAGAAGCAGCGCTGTGTGGCGTGCGGTCGTCCACACTGCTGACCAGTGCGGTCACCAGTGCGAATGACGTACGTGCAGCTAAGGCCACCCCCCCCCCCCGTGCAGAGAGTACCACTCACGGACCTCCTGTGGCGACGGAGTGTGCTGCTGGCCCTGGCAAGCGCCAGCGCCTCCACGACCACCACCGCCGCCGCCACCTCCTCGACCACCCCAACCCCTGCCGCCGCCTCGTCCACCGCCACCCCAACCACCGCCTCCGCCCCTGCCACCTTCCCCGCCGCTGCCGCCACCACCCCCACCGCTGCCACTGGCCCCTCCAGTCGCGCCACCACCCCCACCGCCTCCACCGCCCCCACCACCACCTCCCCCGCCATCACCGCCACCACCCTTGCCCCCTTTGCCCTTGCCACTGCGGCGCTCGATCGAAGCAGACGCAGTACCGACCTTCTCAGCACCAAGGAGGTCGACAGCAGCAGCAGAGGCGACAGAGGGAAGAAGGGGGGAAGGAGAACACCCCTCAAAGAACGGGGTACGGGGGTCGCCACGAGAGGCACCTACAGCGACTATGCTAGTCTCAGCTGGAAGTAGTTCCTTCTCGAGGAGGGCAATGGTGAGCTCAGTGGGGCAGCGAGCTAGGAAGTGGTCCCTGGCAGCACGCAGTGTGTCAGGGAGGCGGGTGACTAGGTGGTAGAGAGTGAGCCAGAGTGGGGGGGGGTGCGTGGCAAGGAACTCAGCGGGCATGGCGGCACGGAAGCGGGCCTCACTAGTACGGAGGTGCGTGATGAGGTCAGCGATTGTGTGGAACGAGGCCATGTCGGGAAACAGGTAGGGGAGGGAGAGACGGCCTAGCGCGGTAGAGGCAGGTGAGGAGTAGCCACCAACGACAGCTGTGTACAGTGCCTGTGCAGTCTTGTGCTGGCCAAAGTGCTCGCGTTCGTCTATCGGTAGGGAGTTGCGAATAGCGAAGCGAGCGTGAGCATCACGAGTCTGCCACTGTGAGCGAGCAGTGCTGTCAGCAGTAGCAGCAGGGGCAGGGGTATGGCCTAGGGCGTGATCGTACAGTGAGATGTCCTCCTTGGCAGTGAGCTGTAGGAAGAGGTGCAGGTCATCTAGCCAGGTGTCGAACTTCACTGGGCGGCCCTCAGCATCGAAAACTAGCACCGGAGGACTAGCCATAGGAGCAGCAGTAGGAGTAGGCAGGCAGGTAGGACGGCCGAGACACGATGTTATAGCCCCTACACGATAGTACAGCCGAGACACGATGTTACAGCTCAGACACGATGTTTTAGCCCTTGACGATGGTACAGCCCAGACACGATGTTTGAGCCCTTCACGATGGTACAGCCCCGACACGATGTTTGAGCCCTTCACGATGGTACAGCCCCGACACGATGTTTGAGCCCTTCACGATGGTAGAGCTCAGACACGATGTTTGAGCCCTTAACGATGCTACAACCCCGACACGATGGTTGAGCCCTTAACGATGGTACAGCCCTGACACGATGTTTGAGCCCTTAACGATGGTACAGCCCAGACACGATGGTAAGCCCAGACACGATGGTGCTCGCCGTGAAGGGCGAGCGTGGGGCCGTGAGGGGCCGTGAAGGGCGAGCGCGAGGCGGTAAGGGGCCGTTAGGGGCGAGCGCGGGGCCGTAAGGGGCCGTTAGGGGCGATCGCGGGGCCGGTCGGGGCCGTTAAGGAGGTAAGCGCGGGGCCGACGAGGCCTCTAGGGGCGATCGCGGGGTCGTAAGGAGGGCCTCTAGGGAGGCAGGCGCGGGGCCGACGGGGCCTCTAGGGGCGATCGCGGGGCCGTACGGGGCCTTTAGGGAGGTAAGCGTGGGGCCGACGGGGCCTCTAGGGGCGATCGCGGGGCCGTACGGGGCCTCTAGGGAGGTAAGTGTGGGGCCGACGGGGCCTCTAGGGGCGATCGCGGGGCCGTACGGGGCCTCTAGGGAGGTAAGCGTGGGGCCAACGGGGCCGTAGGGGACCTCTAGGGAGGTGAGCGCGGGGGCCATTCGGGGCCTCTAGGGGCGGGCCGTCGCGGCCTTAGGTGGCCGTGAAAAAACCGAGGCGCCCTAGGGCGCAGGTAGGTAGGTAGGTAGGTAGTGGTGTGCCCTTAAAAAATTCGGTCCTAGGAAGGACCTGCTCTATACCATGTTGGAATAACGGAACAGGAATGAATGAACTAGCAGTGAAAACAGTAAAAGTACCTAACCCTAGAATTGTGTACCCCCTATAAGCTAACCCACTGTAGCCTAAACAAACACACCAACATATAATGTTTGACACTTCCCCATGCCTTCCGCGTACCTGGCGTAGTTCCTGTGGAGTCTCCGCTGCTGCCTACTTATTTTTGTTGCATTGCTGTGATACTTGCATTGCTGTGATACTTCCATTGCTGTGATACTTGTATTGCTTTAATACTTGCATTGTTGTGATACTTGCATTGCTTTAATACTTCCATTGTTGTGATACTTGCATTGCTTTAATACTTGCATTGTTGTGATACTTGCATTGCTGTGATACTTGCATTGCTTTAATACTTGCACTGCTGTGATACTTTTATTGCTGCAATACTTGCATTGCTGTGATACTTGCATTGCTATGATACCATTCGTATTTTGCCCGTAAAAAAAAAAAAAAAAAAAAACTCAATCTTGTTAAACTCCTCCCAATCCTTTCTCTACCTGTTTTCACATACTTCCCCGTCCCCCATCCCCCATTCGCGTGTACTTCACTAGAGCCTCCAAGCTCTATGAAGCCAAGTTCTACGACAAGGCAGACGCCGGCATCTTCTTGATACCAAGTGCACCCATCTTCTTGATACCAGGTGCGCCCATCTTGGTACCAGGTACGCCCATCTTCTTGATACCAGGTGCGCCCATCTTCTTGATACCAGGTGCGCCCATCTTCTTGGTACCAGGTGCGCCCATCTTCTTGGTACCAGGTGCGCCCATCTTCTTGAAACCAGGTGCGCCCATCTTCTTGATACCAGGTGCGCCCATCTTCTTGATACCAGTTGCACCCATCTTCTTGGTACCAGGTGCGCCCATCTTGATACCAGGTGCGCCCATCTTCTTGAAACCGGGTGCGCCCATATTCTTGATACCAGGTGCGCCCATCTTCTTGATACCAGGTGCACCCATCTTCTTGATACCAGGTGCGCCCATCTTCTTGGTACCAGGTGCGCCCATCTTCTTGGTATCAGGTGCGCCCATCTTCTTGGTACCAGGTGCGCCCATCTTCTTAGTACCAGGTGCGCCCATCTTCTTGATACCAGGTGCGCCCATCTTCTTGATACCACGTGCATCCATCTTCTTGATACCAGGTGCGCCCATCTTCTTGATACCAGGTGCGCCCATCTTCTTGATACCACGTGCGCCCATCTTCTTGGTACCAGATGCGCCCATCTTCTTGGTACCAGGTGCGTCCATCTTCTTGAAACCAGGTGCGCCCATCTTCTTGAAACCAGGTGCGCCCATCTTCTTGAAACCAGGTGCGCCCATCTTCTTGGTACCAAGTGCTCCCATCTTCTTGGTATTAGACCTTTACGAACCCAATACCAAAACTAAAATTAGTACCGATACTGGCCAATTCATTACCTCCATAGAACAACTCTAAAAAGTTCTACTTATTTTTGGATATAGCCGGCTACTTTTAATTGCGTCCATCTTCTTGTTACCAGGTGCGCCCATCTTCATGCTTCTAGGTGCGCTCATCTTCTTGGTACCAGGTGCGCCCATCTTCTTGATACCAGGTGCGCCCATCTTCTTGATACCAGGTGCGCCCATCTTCTTGGTACCAGGTGCGCCCATCTTCTTGATGTCAGGTGCACACATCTAAATCTCCCCAGGCTCTGTGAGTGACTGAGGCTGAGAGTTATGACAACCCAAGCGCTATGGAATGGAACGGGGAAACTTTTGAGACATCTCAAAAGTAGTCAACCCAAGCGCTACGGTATGAAACGGGGCGGGTCTGAGAGTTATGCCCGTGTGAGTCTCCGCTACATAAGCCAGATCTGAGAGCTATGGAGCGGGGCCCATTTGAGGGCTCTAAGGCGGGCAGATTGGGGTGACCATTGAGACCCATGTAGTGGAGAGTTGCTGGTGGGCTGTGACTGTATGTGTGTGCATATTATGTTTGTGTTGCAGAATGTCGGTTTTTCCTGAAGAATTGAGAATTATGTCATGTGTTGCCAGCGACACTAAAAGTCTTCGCTCACACAATGCAGCTGGCAATGTTTGGAAGCAAAGATTCCTTGCTCACTCACACCAGTGCCACCATCACTCACACCCTCAGCACTGAGAGATTCCTTCCTTGCTCACTCACATGAAGTTTTGAGAGTCTTTTCTCACTCACACCAGTCCTTCCCTCTGTGAAACAAGGAAAATGGGAATGAAATGACTATGGAAGATTGGGTACAAATACAACCCTAGAAACCCTGTACCCCGTATGTGCTACCCCACTATAGCCTACAGAAACTATATCATATAAATCTGACACACCCCCATAGGCAAAGTGGGGGAGAACAAGAGGTCACAAGACCAGTCAAGCAAAGCAAAGCAAGCTCAGGGTGGATCACAAAGTCACCACACAGTCCGAGCACAAGAGTAGGGCCAGAGGCCAGTTCACATGCAGGAGTACAGACATATATATAAAACTAGACAAACAAGAGCAGGCATATATATATGTCACAGTACAAGTGAAGTCAAGAGGAGAGCAAGTGAGGCAAGACAGGCACAAGACCCAGCTGGGTGCAAAAGCGCTGATGGTCACAAGGCGCGAGTGCCTTGGTGAACACATCAGCAGTGTTGGCCTCAGAGGCCACGTACGCAAGTCGCAACTGACCACGCTGCTGCAGCTCACGAGCAAGGAAGTAGCGGAGAGCAATGTGCTTCGTTCTGTGCTCCAAGCGCTGCTCTCGACACAAGGCCAGCATGGCCTTGTTGTCTACGTACAGCACTGGAGGAGAACGAGGCGGCTCTCCAAGGTCAGTCAGCAGGTAGGTGAGCCAGCGAAGCTCCTGTGCAGCCATGGCCCCGGCGTAGATCTCAGCCTCACAACTGGAGCCGAGAACCGAAGACGAGCGAGTAGACCGCCACGAGACAGAGCCGGAACCAAGACTGAAGGTGTAACCCTGTGACGACCGCTGCGTAGCCTGGTCGTCAGCCCAAGAAGCGTCCGCGTGGCCGGTAAGGACCACTGGACTCCGCCCTCCAAGCACTAGCCCCATGCCCGACGTGCTGCACAGGTAGCGCAATACCCTCTTCGCTGCAGCCATGTCCTCTGGTCTGTGTCTCCCAGGAGCAACATAGCGAGCAAGAATGCTCAGAAGGTATGCAAGGTCAGGTCGTGTGCAGGTCATCAGGTACATGAGGCAGCCAACAAGCTCTGCATACGGGCCACTCGACTCTACGGACTCATCCGAAGGCAGAGCTGAGAGTGAGTGGCGAGTAGGCAGAGGAGTGGCCTGAGGCGAGGAGTACGTGAAGCCGAAGCGCTGAAGGACCTGCTGCACCATGTGTGACTGAGTCAAGGTAATGGTGCGGCGTGCTCTGTCCCGAGTGATCTGCAAGCCAAGGTAGCTGCGCAGTTCACCCAGGTCTGTGCACGTGTGTCTCTTCAGCAGCTCGGACTTCACGTAGGCGAGTCCAGCAGTGTCCGCTGTGGCAAAGACCAAGTCGTCGACGTACACGAGGATGTAGAACGACGGCAGGGAAGTGTCGGTGCGAAGAAACAGCGACGGGTCAGCAGTAGAAGGAGCAAACCCAAGAGCCGCAAGCGTAGTCCTCAGTGTGTCGTGCCACTCACGCGGTGCCTGACGGAGATCGTAGACTGGCCGTCGGAGGCTCCACTGGGTGCCAGGAGGGAAAGTCCCAGTGAAGCCAGGTGGACGGCGAAGCCAGATCTCCTCGTGCAGGCTACCCTGCAAGAACGCAGTGCTGAAGTCGAGAGAGTGAAGCTCGTAGTCGCGCTGAGCGGCTATGTGCAGCAGCACCCGAAGAGTAGTCATCTTCGGGGTGGGAGAGAAGGTCTGAAAGTAGTCAACTCCCTGCCGCTGACTGAAGCCACGAGCAACGTACCGTGCCTTGAAGACAGGTGGAGAGCCCGGCGGCCGCTTCACCCTGAAGATCCACATGCCACTGACGATGTTCGCCCCAGGAGGGGGAACCGCGTCAACGTAGGTGCCTGTGGACTTCCAGGAAGCCATCTCTGCATCCATAGCTGCCTGCCACTGAGAGGAGTAGGGACCCTCTACGGCCTCCGCGTAAGAACGCGGAGTCGGGATGTCTAGTGCATCCGGGTCTCCCTCAGGGGCAAGCAGTACAGACGCGAGATGAGGTGAAGCAGCCGCTAGACACTGTAACTCCTCCTGCCTGTCCTCTAGGACGTCCGTGCCAAGAGCACACTCACCCCCGACGGACGGAGGACAGACAGACTCAGACTCAGCAACAAGACTGGCAGCGTAGTCGAGACGACAGCGAGCAGCAAAGTCGACGAGCTCAGCGACTAGAGCAGACGCAGCAGTGGACTCAAAAGAGGGGTCAGTGACGACAGTAGCAAGCAGACGCGTGACAGTAGGACTGGCAGCACGAAGAGAGTCCGACTCAGGGTCGGCAAGCGCAGGAAGAGAGGACTCAGGAGGAGAAGGCAAAGGGGCACGCAGAGGAGCAGTGGACGGACGCAGAGACATCCGGTGCGTGCCAGGGACAGGAGGAGGACGCTGACGCGAACTGCGACCACTAGCGCGAGCAGCACGAACAGGCGACGCGGGACGAGACGCAGGCTCACGACGCTCAGCAAGACCTCCAGTAGGACCAGTGTAAGGAGAGGGAGCAGGCAGTGGAGAGGAAGGCTCCAGTAGGGACAGCGACTGGACAGGCGGTGGACCCTCTACTGGAGGAGAAAGACCAAGAACCTGCTGCAGGAGCGGAACGAAGTACGGCCGAGGCCGCGCGGCAGCTCCAGACTCAGCAGTGACAGCACCAGCACCCTCAGCGACAGCACCAGCGCCACCCACACCTCCAGCGGCAGGACCATCAGCAGTAGGCTCAGCACCAACGCCCTCAGCAGCTCTAGCTCCAGGAGGACCAGTAGGTCCAGCAGCTCCGGGACCGGCAGCACCCGCACCCTCGACGGTCGAAGAAGCTCCAGCTCCAGCTCCAGCAGCACCTCCAGACTCAGCAGCACGCCTCCAGCGGTGAGCGAACCACTCGCGCAGCTCCTGTGGAGAGAGGGGCTCCCGGCGAGACGCAGCAGCAGGAGAAACCCCAGGCTCAGCAGCTCCAGACGCAGCACCCCCAAGCTCAGCAGCTCTCAGCTCAGCACCCCCAGGCTCAGCAGCTCCCGACCCAGCACCCCCAGACCCAGCACCTCCAGGCACAGCACCCCCAGGCTCAGCACCCCCAGGCTCCGCACCCTCCGCTGTAGCACCCTCAGGCCCAGCACCCCCAGCAGTAGTACCCCCAGGCTCAGCACCCCCGCGCACAGCACCCCCAGAGTCAGCACCCCCAGGCTCAGCACCCGCAGCAGCACAAGAGTCACCAGTAACCTCGACCGGGTCAACGGCGTCTACCTGGGATACACCTGAGGGGGCAGGAACCTGAGGGGGGAGGGGGTCTACCGGGGGGGGAACCGGCACAAGGAAGTCCGGGGGAGGGGGGAGGGAAGGAGTGCGGTAGGGGAAGAGACGGTAGAAGGGGACTGACTCGTCGAACGTGACGTCCTGGGAGGACAGAACACGACGAGAGGAGGGGTGGTAAAACTGCCACCCTGGGGCGTCAGTGGGGAAGCCAAGAAAAACACAGGGAGCAGCACGAGGGGACAGCTTGTCCGCAGACAAGTCGCGGACAAACGCCCGAGATCCCCAGACACGGAACACAGACGCATCGCCAACCTTCCCCGTCCACAGCAAGGCTGGGGACATCGCAGGCCGAGAGACCCGGGGGTGAAGGTTGAGCTGATGCGCCGCGTACCTCACCGCAAACGGCCACAGAAAATGGGGGGCAGCCGCATGCATCATGGACGTACGAGCGACATCCATGACCATGCCAATGCGGCGCTCAGCAATCCCATTTTGCTGTGGTGAGTCCGGAAGCGTGAAGGTCTGGCGGATCCCCCGTGCGCGACAGTAGTCTCGCAGAAGGCGAGAAGAGAACTCTCCGCCTCTGTCAGAGTGCAGACGAAGAACAGGAAAGTCCGAGCCGAAGCTCTTCCTGAGCTGGAGACGAGCCTCGCGGATCCAGTCGATCAGCACCTCAGTGACCTCACCCTTGCTGCGCAAGGGGAGGACTGTGGTGTAACGCGAGTAGTCGTCAACCACCAACAGGAAGTAGCGCTCGTAACCCTGCCCACGGACGGGGGCTGGGCCCCACACATCCATGTGAAGCGTCTGCAGGGGAGCCTCTGTCGGGGGGAAGTGGGAGGAGTGAGGAGTAGCCTGGAGGCGACCCTCGACACAGGGGACACAGGAAGGTCCCGGCCCGGAGGGGAGAGGAGGGAGAGACTGGGGAAGACCAGAGACAAGGACACGGGAAGCCATGCTCCGAAGACGGGGCAAGGAGGGGTGGCCAAGACGGTGGTGCCACAGGAGAGTCTCGTGGGACAGGAGGCGACAAGAACAGGGGGCAGACTCAGGACCTGACCGGGACGCAGCAGCAAGTACCTGACCCGACGCAGCCACCTGACCAGACGCAGGGACAGGAGGAGACTCAACGGTCAGGGTGTAGAGACTCGACCCCGGCCGACGCGAGAACGTGGCCAGGTGTCGGCCTGTGCGTGCCTCCGTGCAGTGGGTCACCCGCTGACTCGCAGG